TTTCTCGTTTTCAAAAACGAATTTTCGAAAACAAAGAAAAAAATTTGCCTGAAAACTGAAAACGTCAAAATAGACGTTTTGTGTGTTTTCAGGCAAAACAAGGCAAAATTCTAAAAACACGGGAAACGCCCCCTTTCACATTAGAGAGCCAGAAGAACTCAAAGCCAGAAGAATTGCAACCCCCGCCTTCTTCCTCAACAATCGACCACCATCGATCACTGAGAACACCATACCCCATTACCATTCGAACCCCCTCACCTCCATCTTCAATCTATTGTCATCACATGGCCATGGAGTTGCCGAAAACAGCCTCAATCACCACCCAAAATGGCGCTACCAGTCGTGGTTTTTGCCATATTTCCACCGCCGTCGGCCACCGTTTCGATCGCGGACGACCACCACTCCACTCCTCTCAATCAAGCGTCCTTTTGATTTCAATTGTGCGTGCAAGGTTTATGCTCTAGGGTTTTGGTTTATCTTTAAATGCATTGATAGAGTAAGTATTGCTTTCAATTTCTTTTTCTTTAGCTTAACCTAGGTAAATCATGGAAGCAAAAGTTGTGAAATACATGTTCCAGAAACTCTATGCATTAGTTGTATTTGTCTTTCTGGATTTTGGCTTAAATGTGTAGGAAAGATGACGGCGCAGAATTTATAGTTGCATTCTCTTCATTGGCTTCAGAGATTCAGCAAGAGAATAAGAACTTTTGCTTTGAAGTTTTGTATTTCATGATAATCTTTGTAGCTTTCATTAAAATTTAATCATACAGGGGGAAAACTTAACTTTTATTTGATTAACTCCTCTCGCTCTGTCGCCCCTTTGAAAGTTGAAACGTCGATGGAGATGGTAGCCTGATCTATCAGACCCTATTCTGTCATCTTGAATAAGAAAAGAGAAGGAGATTGTGATTTTTAGAGAATCCGTAACATAAATTTGCAAACAATATATTCTTGCATAATCAACAGTTAGAGTTACATGGTCTCTCTTTTGTTATTGTAATTCTGTTTATCCAGCTGTTTCGTGTTATTAGGAATGCTCTTCTTTTGGGAGGATGATCTCACATAAATACATTCTCTGGCTAACACTTATCGACATTCTTCTTTGGTTTTCATCATAAGTTGTTGCTATCTGGGTTACTAATACCTCTTTGTTTCTGGGCAGCTCCTAGTAGAAGTAATGGCCTTGACATGGATAACTATTCTTGGGGTCAATCTCTGCAGGAGGTTAATGTCACTGTTTCCGTACCTCGTGGAACAAAGTCCAAGTTCATTGCATGCGAAATAAAGAAGAATCATCTTAAAGTTGGGCTCAAAGGTCAGCCTCCGGTTATTGATGTAGGTGTCCTGTCCTGTCTTCCTATCAATTCATATTCATCCCGCTGTGTTAGTAGTCATTGTTTGTTGTTATTATTTTATATACTTGCAGGGGGGACTCTTTTAGCCTGTCAAGGTCGACTACCGCTTATGGACCTCAGGTTTGTTTGTTTTTTCCCTATTGCACACAACTATCTGCATTGGTTATGTACCTTAACTATGTATCGGAGTAGTATGATCTTTTCCTTATTGATATCACGAATTGGGCAGCCTGTAAACTGGTAATCTGATGTCTACTAGATTTGGTATAATGTCGGTGAGTTTATGAAAGATATGAAATAAATTCACAACTATTACTTCACTTCTTGCAGGGGATCAAAAAGCTATCTCTATCCTCCTAACCAAGCACAACAAGATGGAATGGTGGAAATATTTGGTAAAAGGTGAGCCAGAGATTGATACCCAGAAAGCTGAACCTGAAAGCAGCGAAATCACTGATCTGGTCTCGGAAAAGGCGTTCAACAGTGGAAAAGATGACGGTAAAATATGCATCTTGTACTCCATTCCATTTATTTTCGAGATCCCTGCCAACCTGCCCTATTGCATTTGTTGTGGATGATTGGATAGTACTTTTGACAATACAAAAGAAGACAAAGGAGCTAAATTGTTGTTCATTATATACAGCCCAGTATTTAGTACTAAATTGAAGTTAAAGATACTTCATCATGTCAGAATTGTAGAATGTAAATGTTTTGAAAGCTGGCATAATTGATGGGAAATTATAATTATGATGGTGCTATAGGACCGCTGACCAAGAAAGACTAAGCGTGCTTGTTCTTTTTATCTATTTTCATCTTTGTCATCTATTCAGAATTGTTAATGTGTTTTCCTTGAAATACTGCGTGCAGTTTGATCGACGACAGAAATCCATGGGCCTTCCGACTAGTGATGAGATGCAAAAACAAGAAATTCTGAAGAAATTTATGGCTGAGGTTAAATTTGAGAAAGCACTTCCACTTCTTCAGTTTCCTTACACGTAGACATGTTTTGAGCTAATTGTACATTGATCGATCTAATATCTTTATTCTTGCAGCATCCGGAAATGGACTTCTCAGGGTTTAAGATTTGCTAACGAGGTGGGGAGCTTTATGGAACAATCTTGGAGGATAGAACCACTTGTGTCCGGCTTATATTTGGTCATTTCTGGTCGACCCCTTCTGTCGAAATAATGCGCTCACAATCTTGATGGTACGGGCTACGGTGTGAAAACTTGGTCGACCTCTTCAACGCGACATTTTTTATTTCCTTTAGCTGCCCTGGATAACATTTCAGATTTAAGCAATATTCTGTTGTCTATTGATTCTTACATAGTTTATAAACAGCGATTTTGAAACGATGAGGATGACATGTGATTTTACGTTAAAATATTACTCGAATGTAAATTTCTCACGACACGTGATTTAAACTTGCTTTTAAACGATATTACGGATCAACTACTTTCATAAATAAACAAGTTTAACTTGCATCATTTTAGATATATCGCCTCTTGTAATTTTTTATAATTACATAGTTCGGAAATGGTTTCGTTGTCTGAAGTTAAATAGTTCAGAAAATTCGTTATCTTTGTATGAAAAATGTGATGAAGATAATATATGCATTTTTTTTTTGTTGTGGACACAGAAATAAGACAGTATTTGAATTAGACGAGAGAATTTTAGCAATCTTACCTCATTAATTTTTTCTTCAATCGATTAACATTAAACTCTTAACATTTATTCACTNTTCGTTATCTTTGTATGAAAAATGTGATGAAGATAATATATGCATTTTTTTGTTTTGAACACATAAATAAGATAAAGTATTTGAATTAGACGAGAGAATTTTTGCAATGTTACCTCATTAATTTTTTTCTTCAATTGATTAACATTAAACTATTAAAATTTATTGATGATTTATTGAATAAAATATTATAATAAATATTCTCAAAATTTCAAAGTAAACGCGTTTTCAAGTTTTCTATTTTGAGAAACAGTTTTTCAGAATGACATAGAACACGATTTCAACAATTTCAAAACAGACATTCAAAACAGAAAACACAAAATGAATTCAAAACTCAAAACACAAAACTGAAACACGAAGAGAACGACCCCTTAATCTTATCCAAATTTGCAGTTGATTAAATTTTCCACAATTTTGGGTAGAAAATAATTTTTCTTTGAAATCTTGTTTTTGTTGATGAGTTGTGTTTAATAGTTGTTATTCTTGACATTTCATGATGTTCTCGACATTTTAAAAGTCGTTATCGACATTTGAACTATGTTTATCTTGACACTTAACACTTCATTTGTTTAGAAAGAGATTTCGTTCTGAACATGAAACTTGTTTACATTTTATAATATTCTTGACATTTTTCTCGATATTTTATAAATGTTTTATTTACCCACTTATAGGGAGAAGTGGGCATTTAATGCATCATTGATACAATACTTTTTAAAATGAGTAGTATAGGTTTAGGTTATGAGTCAAGTTATTATTGGTCAATACAATTTTTAATTATATAAATAATTTTGTTTGTATTGTGGAATTTAAAATTGTTAATGAGAGCATTTTTATCTATATTATAGTAAAATAGACATTGAAGAAATTTTGGAGGCAGTGAGAAAATAAAGAGACGAAATCGTAGACAATTTTTAAGTTTTATGAATAAACCAAAGACACCCCTTCCAATTTTGAGAATCACATTAACCTCCCATACTTGGCTACGTTGTGAGTCACATCATCTAAAATGAGGTCAATATACCTAAAATTCCCTTCTTATGAAAAATAAGAAATTCTTTTCAGTAAGGGTCAATTTGATAGGCA